GGGGGGGGGCACAGGGCCTGCCCTGGCCCTGCCACAGGATCGAGGAGTCAGACCAGGGTCCCTACGCCATCATCCTGGCCCCCACTCGAGAGCTGGCCCAGCAGATTGAGGAGGAGACCATCAAGTTTGGGAAGCCTCTGGGCATCCGCACGGTGGCTGTGATTGGAGGCATCTCCCGTGAGGACCAAGGCTTCCGCCTGCGCATGGGTTGCGAGGTGAGTGCCAGGCCTGGGGGGAGGGGGGACTGCAGAGGGGGCTGGGGGCAGCACCAGGCCCTGGGGGAGTGGCTGGGGGGGGGACGCCACGCCAGGACGTCTCATCGACGTGCTGGAGAACCGCTACCTGGTGCTGAGCCGCTGCACCTACGTAGTGCTGGATGAGGCCGACCGCATGATTGACATGGGCTTCGAGCCTGACGTGCAGAAGATCCTGGAGCACATGCCTGTCACCAACCAAAAACCCGACACTGATGAGGCCGAGGACCCTGAGAAGATGTTGGCCAACTTTGAGTCAGGGAAGCATAAGTACAGACAGGTGGGTGTGGGTCGGAGGCCATGGGAGGCATTGTGGGTGCTCCAGCAGGTCTAGAGGCACATGAGGCTGAGTGTGGTCCCTGGGGTGGAGTGGGGACAGCGTCAAGGCTCTGGAGAACGCGGGGTGGCTGGAGAAGGGACCAAGGGAGGGCTGGTCACGTTTCTATCCCAAGGGGGATGTTGCTTAATCCCGCTCCATCTCTTGCAGACCGTAATGTTCACAGCCACCATGCCACCAGCAGTGGAGAAGCGCAGCTATCTCCGCCGTCCGGCTGTGGTCTACATCGGCTCTGCTGGCAAACCACATGAGCGGGTGGAGCAAAAGGTCTTCCTCATGTCGGAGTCGGAGAAGAGGTGCGGAGGGGCCTATTGCAACAGGGTGGGGCAGTGAGGGTGGATCTCAGGGGCTGGTCTGGGACATTGGGGAGCGAGGCAGCTCTGGGGAGGAAGGGTGTGGGGGCCCAGAGAGCAGAGTGGCTCCTGTGGAGCACCTTGGCCTGCCTTTCCTAACCATCCTCTTCCCCAACAGGAAGAAGCTGTTGGCCATCCTGGAACAGGGCTTCGACCCACCCATCATCATCTTCGTCAACCAGAAGAAGGGCTGCGATGTGCTGGCAAAGTCTCTGGAGAAGATGGGGGTGAGTCTGGGCCAGGCCAGAGTCCCCAGCTTTGACTGGGGTGGGTCAGGGTCATCCCAGGCCCCCCTGGGCCCCATTCCAAACTGGGGAGTTGTTTCCCCATCTCTCAGCTGTGCATGGAGATCCTGCAGCTCGGCTCTGGGTTCTCTGGGCGCTGTCTGCCCCCCGCTAACACCTGCCCCTCATCCCGCAGTACAACGCCTGCACTCTGCACGGTGGCAAAGGCCAGGAGCAGCGAGAGTTTGCCCTCTCCAACCTGAAGGCCGGGGCCAAGGACATCCTGGTGGCCACAGACGTGGCTGGACGTGGTATCGACATCCATGACGTCTCCATGGTCGTCAACTACGATATGGCCAAGAACATCGAAGGTGAGTCCAGGCCTGGCCTGGCCTGGCCCCCTGGGCTGGGACTGGGGGCTGCAGGCTCTGGGATTTGGCAGGGGGTGCCTGGCCCTGGTGGTGCCTTAGTTGGGTGCTGAGGCCCTGCCCGACTCCTGTGTCCGGCTGCAGATTACATCCACCGTATTGGGCGAACGGGCCGAGCAGGAAAGAGCGGCGTGGCCATCACCTTCCTCACCAAGGAGGACTCGACGGTCTTCTACGACCTCAAGCAGGCCATCCTGGAGAGCCCGGTATCGTCCTGCCCACCGGAGCTGGCCAACCACCCCGACGCCCAGCACAAACCCGGTACCATCCTCACCAAGAAGAGGCGGGAGGAGACCATCTTCGCGTGAGTCCCTGGGGCCAGTATCTGCCTCTCGTCCCCTGCTTTGGGGACGCCAGGACCACTGGGGCTGGGGGCTGCCAGGACTTTATTGGCTGCTCCTTTCCCAGACCCCCAGGCCTCTGTGCAGCTGGGACTGCTGATAGCCAAGACTGGGGCCGGGACTACCCTGAGAGTCCCCTTTGCTCCCAGGCCCCCTCCTCCCATCCATCACAAACTGGTGAAGCCTCTGGAGGTTGTTGGGAGGCAAATTCCTCCCCGTCTGCCTCCTGCCAACACAGAGGCATGTTCAGGGCTAATGTTGGGGTTCGCGTGCTGTTTTTTAGCCAGGGCTGTCCCAGGAGCTGTTCTTTCTCCCTTCATCCCTTTTTTAAAGCTGAAACTCCAGTTCAGGCTGCAGGAATAAAAAAAAAAAAACACTGCAGCAGTGCTGCCAGGCATCGCCTCCCTGTGCTGTCCCATCTCTGTGGCACCTGCCAGCCCCCTCTCTGCCTTGTGCCCTGCCTTAGCCCACGTCTCCCCACACCCGAGCAGGGCTAGCTCATGACCCGGGGAGGCTCTGGTACTGTGAGAGGTCCCAGCTCTCCCTCAAACAGCAGGTGACAGCGAGGAGCCTTGGTCTCCTGCCCAGGCAGCCAGAGCTGTGCCCTTCCCAGCACCCTCCGGTGCTCCCAGAGGTGCTGGGAGCTGACAGTGCACCTAAGGAAAGAGCCTTGGGGTGCTCAGCACCTTCCAGAATTGTACCTTTTTACCCTGTACAGCCCTGGAGCCCAAAGACTGTGTGCCCCAGTGTCCCCTGTCCCCACCACCCACCCGCAGAGACACACACACCAGTGACTCTGAGCACTCTCGTGTTTCTGAAACAAGTTACAGGGAAATCAGTGCTTTCTACAAAAGAAATTATAACAAATCTGTGCCCTCCACCCCTCCCAGCCCTGGCTCAGCCAGGCTCTCTGCAAAGGGCCCTGGGGCGGCTCAGCCAAGCGCCAG